CATGACACTTCAGCCTTTTCACTGCATTTCTTCTGAATCCTTTAAGTGATCTCTTTGGATCAGATCTGAAGTCTTCTTCATACCTCTCTGTAATCCATCTAGATGTGACATTTTTTACTTTCCATGTCCTTGCACATGAGTTCCTGTGATTGTAGGCTCTAATTTGGTAGGCCTCTTCATTACAAACTTTAAGTGCATTTATGGCCAACTGACAACCATTTGGTTCTTCTTCACACCTAGCATAGATTCTCCTTTTATCATTCTTGGTGATTCTGAGGCTTCTATGAGTTTGGATGCCATGAGAAGAAATTGCTTCCTTGAACAAACTCTTGGATGGAAACTTCATTCCAATTGCAAAATGAGGATTGAAAACATCCTCACCCTTAAACACAAGACTCCCATTCTCCTCTTCATCTTCATCTTCATCTGAACCATTCAAACTACAAAAAACATCATCACTACTACTATCTTCAGACACAGACATACTACTGCCAGTGGACAAGTCTAACTCTGCCCCTTTTTTGTGGCTTTAACATGATTCTCCACAAAGCCCTCTTCATCCACATACATATTAATATATCTTTCAAGATCAGAATCACTGTCCACCTCTTCTCTATTTTCACCCTTAACCTCACCTGCCTCATTGACACCATGATCCCATTGCCATCCTTCTCCAATTCCCTTTCTTCCTTCTCAGCCACTAGATAGAACTTCACTTCCCTTTTATGATGTTTATCAACAACCAACAAAAGATCAGTCTTCATAAGAACCTCTCTGTATTGATGGTGCAAGTCAATCTATAAATTTTTTTCTCCCCACAGTAGTCTAACTCTTCACAGAACCTATAGACATCCCTCATTTTACTTTGGACTTGTCCACATAATCAAATGCACTTATCTCACTCCCAGCATACCTCTGCTGCCCTTCAATTATATCATCAGCCAAATCCTTCAATTATATCATCAGCCAAAATCTCATCATGATGTATTTTGAAAGTAAGGTAAAATGGGTTAGTGCCACCTGCATTTTCATAACATGGAACATTTGGTCAGATATACAAATAAATAAAATGAGGTTTTTTGTACAAATAATCTTAATTACAATGAGCACTAATTTTAAAAACATTTAAAAAAAGCCCTAATTACCCAACATGGAGGACCACATACCTGACAAAATTCCCAATTTTAAAAAATTTAGAAAAAATCCTAATTACCCGGCATGAAGGACCACATACCTGACAAAGCCCTAATTTTTATCACAAAAAAAATTTAGAAAAAAACCCTAATTAACCCGACAAAGCCCTATTTTCTATCACAAGATTAAAAAAATACCCTAATTACTACATACTTGACAAAAGCCCTAATTTTTCGAACACATCACCCTAATTACCATAAAGAAATTCAAAGAATGGACGAACGCATCACACAAAGGTACAATACAAACGTAATTCGAACAAATAACACATTACAAAACAACATACAATGAGAAAAAATATACAATTAAGCGTGCTAGGGTTAGGGATAAATATCGTAGGTCGGATTTGGATTTCGACAACATCACTTGAGAGCAACATCGGATTTTCAACACAATAACGTAGGGTATTCGCAACAAAGTTTAATTTGGAGTAGATTTTGGAGAGAAAATTTTGATTTTATGGATTGAATACTAAACCTAATTTTGAAAATTGGGGGTGGAGAGATATGTATCGTTTAATATGTTGGGAAAACAAATCGACAGATTTAAATCTGTCCAAAAATAACGACCAAACGCCCACGTGAGCCCCACGTGATATTTTCGTCCATTCTGTTAGTTTTGGGACTAAGTTTGGAACGAAAATTAGTTGAGGACTAAAAAAGAGCATCTTGGGACTAGTTTTGGGACCACGCCAATCTAACGGGACCAAATTTGTAATTTCCTCGATGCGTAGTATATTCCTTCTTTCTACAAAAATAATTGTGAAAATAGCTATTTTCACCCCGATTTGAAGTCCTGCTAAATTTTTCACACCGTCCAATAAAAAGTAAGTTTTTCACCCCGGAAAGTACGAAAGGCATTGTGCAATGAATATGCGACAATTGCGAGATGATATTTTGCGAAAATTAAAAGTGCGAAGACATTCGCATATCCCTCCGCACTTTCTAGGGTGAAAAAAATTTAAAGTGCAAAGACATTGTGTGATGAATATGCGACAGTTATGCAATTGATATGCGACAGCTATGCAGTCCATTCGTATAACCTTCGTACTTTTCGGGGTGAAAACTTAACTTTTTATTGGACGGTGTAAAAAACTTAATGTATCTTTGTATTGGGGTGAAAAAGATTTTTTTCCAAAATAATTGGGGAGATGTACATCTCTATGTGTGCTGATAAATAATTGCAAATCTTCATATTTGCAAACTTATTTCCACATATATGATACTAACCTTATTTAATTAGGTAGATACTAGATAATTAAATGATGGATTAAAAATGGTATTTTGTTTTGACTTTTCATAATTGACAGACACTTAATTCGAAAATTGTGTATCGATAAATATTATAAAAGTAATTCATCTTACTCTCTCACCGAAATTCCCTCAGTTGTCTCCCTTTTTTTCTCCATCTAATACATCTTCTTTGTCGCGTCTTTCGCCGGTGTCACCTGCTCCCCCACCCTCAGCCACATCTTCGTCCCTCTACCTCGGCACCGGCGAGCACCCTCTCTAGGTCTTCCGATAGGAATTTGATGGCAGACATTTCGAAAACTCGGGTGAATATGGATTCTTCTATGTACACAATGTTCTTCTCCGACTTGTATTTTGGCAACACGAGGGGAGTAGGGGCGTGGCTTTTCGGAGGGAGGGGCCATACGTGGTGGTTGAGAAGGATAAAGACGCAGAGATATTGGCGGTGACGTAATAGATGACTGGGCTGAGGGAAACTTGGGAAGCCGCCGCGGTGGCGAGTAGAAGGTGAAGATAGGGAATGTGTGTGAATTTGAAGACGAAAAGTTTTGTGGCCTTTTTTATATATATTTTTCTTCTTCGATATATCACTAGTACAATGTCCATGAACTACAGTGGTGTTTCATAAAGAAACTAATTGTCCAACAAAAAAAGTGAAAAGGAATTGAAATTCTTATTTTGAAATAAAAATATTAAAAATAATTAATAATAATTTTTTTAATATTTTGTCTCGATTGTTAATATAACGACCATGAACAACACGAGTGCCTGAAAATTAAATATTTTTATCAAGATAAAGAAGTGAAAAAATATATTATTATAAAAGAATGATAAAAAAGTTAAAATACAACTAATAATAAAAAATATTAAAGTTAACTATTTAAAGCAATACCAATGTTATATACTCGATTGTCAAAATTGCATTTTTTTTAACCACACACATGTATTACAATTCAATAATTAAATCTTAATTTTTTTCCAAGTTTGATTATATTGTAAGCATATTTTATATTTATATAGTTTCTTCCCTCATCTAATACTTTATGAAATATCTACTTTATAGTCATTCCACATTCAATGCATTGTTTTTCATTGTCATAAGTCAAATCTTTAGGATTCAGTATTTTCAAAAAATAAAACTAAAAAATAGCAATAAAAGGTAAATATATTATCTATAATATAAATTATGATTAAATTATATTAAAAATAATTTGAAAATTAAATTTTAAATAAATAGTTAAAAAATATTTTATTTTTATATATTATTCATATTTTATTTACATATTAAATACTTATATAAAAGTAAAACTTAAAAAAGAATGCCTTTATAAATAGTTTAAAAATAGCTTATTTTATTTTTACATAATCATATATATTATATGTTTATTCGTAAATTGAATTAAATTATAAATAATTTTATATAACCGCACATGCTTATAAGAATTTATGTAACTATATATTTAGACTAGTCAATATATATAAATAAATCACTTATTTATATATAATATAAGTGTAACATTATAAAAAAAATACTTATTTATAATATATATTAATAATATATAAGTATATGAAAAATAATAAATATTATCATAAATAGGAAAATAACATTAATATAAATATTGATATTATTTTTTTTTATAAAATAGTGATATATAAATAATAATCTATATATATATATATAATTAAGGGCAAGCTTCATTTAATTTTATTCAACTTCAATTAATAATAATATGAGGTCATTTGATAAAAATAGGCTACATTTAATATAAATATGTTCACCATTTAATAATAATATGTAACTTTCAGTTACACAATTTATTTTGACATGACACATTTTGGATGGTCCCTATTTCTGTAATGCAATTTTATGTCATGAACAAAAAAAAAATATTTTTATATTGATACTATATATTTTTTGGGTATTATATAAATAATATTTCACAACTAATTTAAAATGACTACAAATATCTCTATTTTCTATTGCACCCGTACAATAATAAAAAATATTATTCGGATATTACAAAGATACATAAAATATTTTGAAAATCAAATCTCAGAGTCACGAGTTGAAGAAATTTAACGATAAGGATTCGTTGTGATGAGGATTTTGACGATAATAAAATTACGATTGTTTTATATAAAGAAATGTTTAATAATATTTAGATTAACTTTTTAATATAATTTTGTTCTCATTTATTAAGTTCTGATTTTTTATTTTATTTTATATTTTTAATTATTTTCTCTTCTATTATATTATTTTTTGTGCAAATGCACGGGGTAAAACTAGTAAAACTAGTAAAGAATGATAATGTCATTCCATTTCTATCAAATTTTATTCCATTGTACCAAATAGGCTTTTTCCGCTTTCCATGTTTTACTTTATACACATCGACATTGCCAACTTCTATCAACCAACTCTTTTAGCCAGCTTATGACTCATTAGCTGCTTAGATTAGGCCTATAACACAAGTTAGCAAAAAAACGAGGAATTCCAATAACAAAAACCACACTTCATCTAACCAAGCCAAACAGCAAATTAGAGATGCAAAACTTGAATCAAGCACTCAAGCCTGCCCAGTTCTTAAACGCAACCAAAGCCTCCATTTTCCTTGTACTCCTCTTTCTCAACTTGGACACCTTCAGCTTCTTATGCTTCTCCATGAATGCCTGCTTGTACCTCCACTTATCCACGAATATCTTCATTTCCCGAGATATCTCGACAACTTGCATCACCGAATCGAAAAACCCACCCTTAACCAACGCATACAGAAAAGCATCCACCAAAACATTATCCAATTCAAACTTCTTATCCGAAACCTTCCTCCTCACCTCATTCCACAGCATCAACACGCTGAAATACTTCTCCAAGGCCATGTAGCCATTGATGAGCGACAAATATGTCTGCCCGTTAGGCTCAAACCGAAGGAAAACCATCCTCCTGAACGTTCTCCGAGCATCCTCTAACCTCCCGGCCTTACAGAAGGCATGAATAATCGAATTCCAGTCGTGGGTCCCGATCTCGATCCTAGGGTCCTCAACGATTTCGTCAAGAAATGCAGCCATTAGTTCGGGCCTGTGGTGTTCGGTCAGGCCCGTCATGATGGTCAGATAGCTGGTTTTCAAGTCACTTGTTCTCGATTCCCTCATGTCACGAAAAATAGAAAATGCCGAGTGGAAATCCTGGCAGGACATGGATGACTCGATTAGAGTATCGTAAGTTTGTGTGTCCAAATGCAGCCCTAAGCTGCCGATTTCCGTGACCAATTGGGCAGCCTCCGAAGTTCTCTGCTCTTTGGAGTATGCTTTCAAAATCGGGACATAAACTCCGAGCCCGATAGAAGCACCCTGAGCATTCATTTCATCAAGAACCGAATGTGCCCTGTCTAGTGAATTGAGACTGATACAAGCAGTTATGACCCCATAACCGAAAGACTCCTCGGCCGCAACAGTTGAAGAAGGCTCGAGTTTTTGGGTTTCGACTATCAAATTCGATATGTTCTTGTGATTCCCCTTCTGTAAAAATCCTTTCACGATCTCACTACAAGTTTCTAAACTAAAACACTGTCCTTCTTTTACCCAGCGCAGTATAGAAGCTGAAACTAATTCGAAATTACCCGACTTCACATACCCACAAACCACATTATGCAAGAAATTTCTTTTATCAGAAACACCAAGCCTACCAATCAAGCCCTCTAGCTCGATCACTTTCCCGTCAAGCCCCTTGACCGCATATAAATACGCCAGCAACCCAAAACTAACATTGTCTGGCCGAATCCCCAAAACCGACATTTTATCAAACACTTTCTCTGCATCAACAACCGACTCAAGTTCCCTGCAGTAGCACTCCAAGACGGCATTACAAGCAACCAAATCGGGCCTCATAAAACCTAATTTCTCATCGGTGACAATACTACAACACTCGCTGAATATGCTCAGAAAAGCAGCAAAGCTGCCGTTTTTCCGGCAAATATCGATCAAAACGGGACCCCACATCTCGAATGGCATGAAGAACCTGTTGCCCAGCATGTTCTTCACCAGCGCCACAGCCGGGGCGCTGGTGTTGGCCTCCTTCATGGAGATCAGAAGCGTCTTAATGCTGTCATACTCCAACAGGGACGGATTTTTATCCAGCAAGAAGACAGCCGAGGCGAACGCCCGCTTGAGGTTGAGCGTGTCGGAAAGCGAGGACAGGTGCGCGATCAGCGAGTTCGTGAGGGGCTTGCTGGGGAAGGAAGCGGCGGCGGTAAGGGCCTTGAACGATTTCCAGGCGTCGTCGGTGTTGCCGTTGAGGAGGGATCGGTGGAGGGAGGATTCGAGGGCGGAGTTTTCGGGTCGGGTCGGGTTGTGGTTTGGGGAAATTGAGGGTTGTTGGGGTCGTGTTGTCTTTTTGGGGGAAAAAACTGAAGGCTGGAGGAAGGAGTAAAGGGATGGGATATCTGGTTCGGATGAAAAGGGTCGTCGTCCGGTGAGAGAAAACAAGCGCAGTGCCGTTTGCCGCATTTCTACGCTGCCACCATTTCGACGCCGGCGGAAGGATATACTATATAATTAATAGTCTATTGTACGTTGTTTAATGAAAAGATGTACATTTTGTTAACAAGCTGGAATAGCTCAGTTGGTTAGAGCGTGTGGCTGTTAACCACAAGGTCGGAGGTTCAAGCCCTCCTTCTAGCGTTTTATATTTTTTTTTTATTTAGTTCCGTGACGATAGGGGTATTAAATGTTTGATAATTAATTTTATTTTTTAGTAATTTTAATCTTTATGAAACACAAATTTTTCATGGTTAAATATTTTATTTTTATTATTTTTTATTTATATTTATTCATTTGTTTTATTTTTTCAACCTATATAATGAGTTAATTAGTATCCATTCAATATTTAGATATATCACATATGTCCATGATTATAAGTGCTATAATTTAATTTATGATACTTGACTATTTTATTTACTTATTTTTATTTATAAATTTTATATAATAAAAATTCTTTTTTTTTTTTTTAAATATGTTTAAATGTACATAGATACCTTCTAGCGATTTGTATTTTTTATTTAGTTCCGTGACGATAGGAGTATTAAATGTTTGATAATTAATTTTATTTTTTAGTAACTTTAATCTTTATGAAACACAAATTTTTCATGGTTAAATATTTTATTTTTATTATTTTTTATTTATATTTATTCATTTGTTTTATTTTTTCAACCTATATAATGAGTTAATTAGTATCCATTCAATATTTAGATATATCACATATGTCCATGATTATAAGTGCTATAATTTAATTTATGATACTTGACTATTTTATTTACTTATTTTTATTTATAAATTTTATATAATAAAAATTCTTTTTTTTTTAAATATGTTTAAATGTACATAGATACCTTCTAGCGATTTGTATTTTTTTTTTCTTCTTTAACAATCGGGATATTATATCAACTAGTGTTGATACCCGTGCAATGCACGGAGTATAATACCATAGATTTTTTACTATTTAAATAATACTAAACTATTAAACACAATATGCAAATCTATTCCACACAATATTTAATTAAATAATATTATAAAATATATTTATTACTATAATTAATTTTGTGTTATTTTTAAATTTTATATTAAAGGTCTTGTCTACTTATTATATAATCTTTATTATTTAAAATTTTAGAAAATATTATAAATGTATATGATTATATGATATTTGCATAAAAATTACTTACATGTACTTATAAAATTGTCGATTATCTTCTTATAACCTTTTTTTTCACAGTTTATAATTTTCACATTGTTCGATGATTAACCGACATTTAACTAATAACATTTATTTTCCTTTATTATAATTCAAAGTGCATGGAATGTTAAAATGTTTGATAATCAATTTTATTTTTTAGTAACTTTAATCTTTATGAAACATAAATTTTCATGGTTAAATATTTTATTTTTATTATTTTTTATTCATATTTATTCTTTTGATTTATTTTTTCAACGTATATAATGAGTTAATTAGTATCCATTCGATATTTAGATATATTACATATTTTCATGAATAATAAGTGCTTTAATTTAATTTATGATACTTGACATTTACTTATTTTTATTTATAAATATTATATAATAAAATATCTTTTTTTTTAATATGTTTATATGTACATGATATTTCTCTGTGAAACTTATAATTCTGATTTGTTCCCGACCATCAAATATTAATTTTATCAGTATATTGTTTTAATTTTCAATAGTGTTATCGTTACAAATGAGATAGTCAGTAGAGGTTTACATTTTTTTGGTTAAGTTGTCTCATTCAGAAAAAAATATTAATATTTTAAAGTATTCATTGATTTACTATGATGCAAAAATAATTATTCTGATTATTTTATTATATATTTTAACTACTTACTAATTAAATTAATATCTACAACCATATATGATAGTATATTTAATAAAATCAATTTTCAAATTATATTTATTTTAATATTGTCAATAAATTACTATGAAATTAATATCAAGATATTAATAAAAATAAAATTTGATTACAAAGGAACACTACACAACTCAACAAACCAACTGGAGAACTGAGAGGACACGCCCACAACGACCTAGAAACACCACAAACCACTCACAGCTAAGGCAGATTAAAACTGAAACCTTAGTCTACCAAACACTAACCAAAATCCCCTAAGAGCCAAGAACCTAAAGATCAGCACAACTAAAAACAAGAAAAAAAAAAAAACATAGAAGCAATAAACCAACATTCGTGAAACACCAACGCTAGAAAAACACAGTAAAACAAAAGCTAGGAAAACAGAAAAGCAAAAACACCCTGCTAAGACACCAACAACTATAAAAACCGAGCTCCTGAGAATTTCTTCCATTCATGAAGTGCACCCTTAATGATCAGGTGTTCAGGCATCCTCTCATGCTGAAAAAGCCAC